CCTGGAAAAGAAAAGGCTGCATGGAGACCTCGTAACAGCCTTCCAATATCTGAACGGGGCCTACAAGGATGCTGGGGAGGGACTCTTCATTAGGGACTCTAGTGGTAGGACAAGGGGTAATGGCTTTAAACTTAAACAGGGGAAGTTTAGGTTAGATATAAGGAAGAAGTTCTTCACAGTGAGGGAGGTGAGGCAGTGGAATAGGTTGCCCAAGGAAGTTGTGAATGCTCCAACCCTGGTGGTGTTCAAGGCCAGGCTGGACAGAGCCTTGGGCAACAGAGTTTAGTGTGTGGTGTCCCTGCTCATGGCAGGGGGGGTGGAACTAGATGATCTTAAGGTCCTTTCCAACCCTAACTATTCTATGATTCTATGACTGGCGCAGAACAAACAGAAAAAAAAAAAAGTAAAAAAGAAAAAAGGAAAATGTACAATCAAGATCCTCCTTTGCACTAAAAGGTTTTTTCCTATTTCCTACCATGTACTATATAGCCACTCTTACAAAGAACTATTTCACTGTTGGTAGGGATTTTGATGCTGGTGGGATGTTATTTAACTTCCTTCAGATTGCATTTCATTAAGAACATGGCACTTAGAATTATATCCCTTCATTACTCATACACATCGTTTTAGTACCGTATTCACTTTAATAGTCTCTAAAAGTTCGTTCAATGAGAAAATAACTATTTTTTGTTTTGATTACTTTACGTTAGTGCTGGGAAGATGAAAAAAAAAGTTAAAATTGATGCACTACTCTATTTCCTACCCACTGTTACAAGAGAAGAAAGATAAAAGTCATGATAGTACTCAAATTTGAAACCATACTTGTAAGTATTTCTGTAGTTGTCAGAATAAAATTGTTCCTCTATCAACACACACACCTACATATATAACAATCTTTTAACTTGCTTAGGAAAATTAATGGACAGAAAGGCCATTATACATTAAATTCCCCATCCTTTACCCTGGATGAACCTGAGTGATCTGGAATGAAGCTAAAGATGAGCATGTGTATGTAGCTGTTCAGGAATAGGAAGCAAGACCATCATACTGCAAGATCTGTACCAAGTGTTCTCTCAGAGATGAAATGGCTGAGATCTTTCAGAACAACCAGTTCTGAAAAGTCAGTTTCTGAAAAGCCAGCATCTCCTCCCACAGATGATACTGATGGTTCCTTGCCTCTCCATCTGCTTTGCAAAATATGCTGTCCCTCTACATTTATTTGCACACATTTGTTAAGTCCCTGCATGCCCCCCACACTGCATTCAACCTTACTAGAAAGATTGCTTCATTACTGCCTCAAATTAGTGCTTTGCCTATTAATTTGATGGTAATTAGCAGAGCAGGGTGTTAAACAACTGGTGATGGAACTCCAAAACAGCAGACCCCCACAGCTAAACTAGCTATACCAGCCATTGTCTTTTAGAACCTTAGCTGTACCAAAACCACACAGTGCCCCACACCACTTTCAATCTATTCACATTTCCAAAATTTTAACTTTAATATTTTAACAGTTCGACTTCTCTTTACGAAGATATCCCAGGGTTTATTAAAATCCCATTAATTGTCATAAATATCAAAAGTTATGGTAGATCATTCAGGCCCATTAGCTACCTAACAGAGATAAAATTAGCCTACATGAAGATTGCTTTTCACATTGCTATTGTTAAAACAAAATAAATCTAAAAGAATCAGATTTCTACTTAGCACATATTATTAAGAACATCAGCTTGGAAAATGGCTATCAAAACCCAACGCATTTTTTTTTTTTTAAACTGCAAAACCTATATAATCAGCGATTATATACACAACTGGTTACATCTATAGATCAGCAGTAAAAGGTTTTACAAAAACTTTTAACAAAGATTTTAGAAAATGCATTAAACATTTCACAGAAGAACCTAGAGCACTGTTCAGCTTCTACCTTACTTGAGTTGCTACAGATATGTAAAACTATTCATAGTTGGTAGATGAGAACGTAAGGATAATTAACTACCCAGCAGAGGTGTCTTCTAGTTACATGTCAGTAAACAGCTTTGCTAGAACTCTTAAGAATACTTCTAAATGGCAGCATAGAGCAAGAAAAATGGCTAAATATCATTATTTGTTCCTCAGTTTAGAGTATCTAACCAAAACATGCAAAAGAAACACTCAGGATAGTTTAGAAGAACAAAACTCACCAAAATCTGCAAACACGGACTGTCCAACAACTTTCACACCACTAGGCGTTTCCTTGCTTTTTTCAGCTTTAGAGAAGTTCCCATCCTATCAAACAGGACGAAGATGAATGAAAAACTGAACTCCAGACTAAGGGATAAAATTTGACTTTTGAATGAAAAGACAATATGCATCAATAAAAAAGTGCTGAAGCAGATAAAGAGACACCTCAGCTATGGAAAAAAATGTACTCTTTGAAATTTGGGACTGAGTTTTTTGTGTTTCTAATCCTTCATGGAATCTTATGGAAAACCAGTAATACTAATATTCAGATACAATTGTTCATATATTTTGCTGTATTATGAGGATCAGATTGGGTTATTGCATCAACACAATCTAAATCATAATTAAGTGATCCTGAATAATAATGTGCATTTATGCATATTGACGTGATTTTATAGATACATGCACACAAAAAACCCCAAAGCTGTACACCTGTTAAAAATAGCTTCTGATCCTTCTAATTAGGAAATAACTCAATTTCACATTAGGCCTGGTTTAGGTCTCATTTTATATGTCTATTATTAAAACCTAGGCCTGCAGCGAACAATATTCCAATACTTCAACAGAAAGACAAAAGAGGAGTGCTGGCTATCATAGAACTGGATCACAGCTGGAGGAAAACCATTTAAAACATTAAGTTTTCATAGCCATTTAAGATGACCTAAGGCCCACTTTTCTAGTCGTTGCAATCAGCTCATACCAAGTTCTCTGCACACAGGTATACATGAAGCCATTGAGACAAGTAACAGTTTTGTGGATTATGTGTAGTTATCCATACTGCTTATTCATGGCATACTCCATCTGGAGACGCCGGTGCTGTTGAAGATGCAACTCTGGAAACTGTTAGTACATGGATGTTTGACTATGTATCTTCACCTAGGCATATGATTTATAATGATTCAGATGGGGGGGAGGGGGGAGAGGAGAAGATGCAAATCATCTCCAAACAGAAAAGATGAGCACGCCCTGTGCTCAGTTGGCCAGAAAAGCATGTATCATATAGGCAAATACTTTTCAGTTCATTTTATGGTGCATCCGTAAAGGGAAATACATTGCCTAGGTTTATAGAGCCATTTAACAGCTTTTAATGGATTATTTAATGTATTTTAAGATTGATATATATGTACATATGTTTTAAATGTATGACATGTTTACTGTGTTGACTGATCACATAAGATAGAATTTTTCTTTCTAAAGATAAGAAAATCTATGCATACAAAATTTATCATGTAGGATAATATTTATAATACAGGAGTTTGGAAAATCCAAAAAACATAAGAAAATTTTGAAAAAACCTTACCTACAGAAGACAGGTCAAAAACCTTGTGTAATCACTAACACTTAATCCCTTAAGAATGAAATTCATCAAAGTCAAAACCTGTTTATTTTTAAAGTCTATGTAAAAGCTAGAAATATAGAACTCATGACCCACTGCGGGGGGGTGGGGAGGGGGAAGTATCTAGTACAGCTTTCACTACTTTTCACTACTTCTGTCCCCCTTTTTTTTCCTCCTTTCCTCCAGTTCAGCAGCTCATTGAAGATGGTCACGTTGTCACAGACATGACTGTGTTCTCTGCTCTACAGTGACTCACTGTGATATAACGGATAAATTTTCAGGCAAATAGAGCCTAAAAACCAAATTCCTTAACTAATAAGAAACACATGAAATACCTTCTATTATAACAAACACGTAAACTTTTAACATACACATGCTAAGATTCTCAACTATAGTCCTTTTGGATAACAGAGTTAGTATAAACGATACACTTAGTTTCAAATCAACTGATTTCATTAACCGTTATTAACACTGAGGTTCTTCACTGACTCTGCCCAAGTCAGGCAATACAAAAGCAGGATCTCAATAAATAAATAAAAACAATCCATTGACCTATTGCTCCCAACCCTGACCTGCAGTTGTATTGTTTGTTTAATGTAGGACTTGGGATTTTCTCAACTATAACTTGCATATATACTGTAACAGTTAGAAGAGAGATTTTGAACTTCTGTCCCACAAAATCTTACCCAAGACATGAAGTCATAGCTCTAAGAAAGCTTAAAGAAATCAGATCTTTGAGATAGCAAATATAAAGAAATCTGATCAGCTGTTTCTTCATAAGTTACCATGCTAAGTATCAGTAACCTAGAAAAGCTGATGGCACAGCAGGAGTCCTGCTAAGGTGAATGCAGTCAGTCTGATTGAATTACTTAACAGTCATGTTAAAAAAATTGCAGAAGAGCTTATGCTGAGTAAAACATCTTCAGTGATATTCTGGAGTCTAAATGTGATAGTGCAGTTAGTGCCTCAACATCGGTTCCACTCATTCCTGAAACAATAAATATCAGATAACTTTTTTTTTTTTAAACTTCTCTGTACGTTAACAGAATGATTATTTGAGTTATCACTCGTACCTTATTTACCCATGTCTCAAACTGAATGTTTTGTGAATTTGGTAATGTAGTAAGGAACAAATCTGCAAGGAAAAAGGTAAGAGAAATAAAATAGTTAACATTAGACTACCCACATAAATATTTGCTCATGTAATAAAGATACATATTTAAAATATATTACCTACAAGTTAAAAATATATTAAACCCCAGTGATGTGTAGATGTGTATATATATTAACCAAGAAAGATAAAACACACAAAAAAAACCCACCTCCCCAAAAAACCCCCGCCAAATTATTTTAATCACCATATACTATTCTGTATAAATCAATATACTTTCTGCACTGTTCTACATTTTATAGTTTCTACACAAATTAATTTTGCCTCACATGAGCTAGTAAGTGCTGGGTATTATACATGCACACTGCAGAATGTGTCTTAATGGTAAAAAGAGACCTCAAAGCTAGAAAAAAAGTATACATATTTTTGACTTACTAAAAATACAACTTTTTGACTTACTAAAAAACTAAAATGCTACCAATCATGTTTTTATTCTGTGTATGCTGAATTAAACAACTGATATACTGTTGACAAGAGATGAAAAGGAGACGGAGAAATATTTCGGGCTTAACCCTAGTTTTTGGACACAGCCATTATGAGCTCACTCAAGTATTGGTGAATTACTCATAAGAGAGTATGGATGGTTACTGTATATTACAAACACATGTTTTGTAGAAGCCTGTAACAGATTTGCAATGGATAAAATCAGTTTTTTTCCATTCTTAGTCTGAAGCATATTAAATTAATTTTTTTCTCCTCCCTTATTTAATCTGATTTTGTAGTAAGTGTATAAAAATATTGAGAAATATGGCTGCACAAGGAATTGAAATAATATAGGAAGTCAAGAAAGAACAGGTATGTAAAATCCCAGATGTTGGAACCAGAATCAAAAGTATCTTTAAAATAAACATTAAACTCAGTAATAATAAAAAAAAAAAAAAAAAAAAGGTGAGAGAATCAGTGTCTGGGATGTTACATAATTAATAAAATCAAAGAATACATTTAGCTAGCTGCAGTGTAGGAGGAATAAGTCAGGATACTAAAATGAAAGTCAAAGAGCTAATAGGAATATGATAATTTAAAACATTTAAACTGTTTACCATGTTCAGTATGTGTAGGTGCTTATAGATTTAACATCTTTGTTCAGCTGCTGTACAAACCAGGTACCTTAATGGGAACACTTGTTCCCCATTTTGAGAGAAAATGGAGCTATGTTTTCACGTTCTTATAAGAACAACAAGAAAATAGCTATAAAATCTAACTATACAGAATCTTCTCCAAGTTCTCTTCTGATTATTCTTGTTACTTTCCTTCACTTTTAAGTGTTATAAAAACTGCTACTATTTATAGGTGGAGGGTTCATTTCACTAATGACTGATTTGACCTTTCTGTTTAATGTCAGAGGGCTTTATTTCAGAATTAAATCCCTCAGCATCTACAGTTGTCTTCAGAAGCCACCAGGTCATGAGCAACATTCTGAAGTTACAGCTTGATTTCACATTTACATCAGAAGTTTTAGTTACTAAGTGGGGAAAAAAACACAACCAACCAAGCCTTTTTTAAAGACAATCAATATGCACAAAGTATTACCCTGTTAGCACAGACATGCACACTCCAAACATGCCTAAACATTTTTTTAATTAATGTGGCAGAATAGGTGTGTGCATGCATGTTTTTTAACTAGAAGTTACTTGTGGATATGAGCTCACCTGCCTGTATGTCTCGGTATACACAAATAATGTGCTAATGTAAAAATCTATGCATTTTTGTGTTCTGACAGCATGGGAAAGGCAACAACTGTATTGAAATCATTAAATGTCATAAATCCTAAGGTCAAGTAAAAGGTAATTTTTGTATTTACAGTAGAAATCTTCCTCTATCTACATCACAGATTGACCCACCAGTAGGAAAAAAATATTAAAAAAAAATAAATTAAAAATGCTATTTACAGTTGTGTCAGTTGTATGTATACAATTAGTTGTACAGTAATTTTAATACACACAAACATAATTTTATACAAAAAAGTTAGATGTAGTCAGTTTTATTTCTCTACTACATGGAAACAGAAAACCAAACCTGATCAACAGAAGCACAAAACACTTAAGTTTTTCATGCAGGTATAAAAACTCTCTACCATTTCATATTCAGATTGGTTTGTCAAGTTGGCATTAGTCTTGTAGTAGAGAAAATTAATATATGTACTGCCTACCTATAGCCATATACAATATAGATGAAGTACCAATGCTAACGAGTTTGCTGTTCACTTGTCATGAATTTTTGGTGCTAGTTATACCAAAACCACCAGTGAAGGAACCACTTCTCTCAGTAACAACTTCCTCTGCAAAATTTAGCAAAACAAAAGGACTTTCTATGTTCTAAACAAGCTAATTGTGTTTGCAAATTTTTAAGAAATGTGCTTATAATAAAAGATTGTGAATTTACTCTGCTATTCAACTGGTTCTTTCAAAATTTAGTAAGTGGTTACTGGAACTATTTAGTAAAGCTGATGATAAACAATTATAAACAACATAAGCACTAAAATCCCTTTCAGTAATAAAAATTACTATAGAAAGAATCCATATGCATTCATTTTAAAATATCACTTACAAGGAAAATATTTATATTATATTTATGCTGAATAGTTATGCTTCTGAATAGGCAGAGCAGGTGGGACTACTCCTGTGGTTTTTAGCACTTCATGCATGACTTTTCATACAGAAACTTCTGCTTATTTTCAGAATAAAGGCAACAATATTGTTTCAAGCAATAGAAGATGACAATTCGGTGTTAAACCGTGCTTTCAGAACCCATTTTCCTGTTCATGTTTTCTCAACAAAATGCTGTTTGAGGCATATCCAATTTACTTCTCACAAATACTAAGTTATGAATTCCCACAAAAATATCATATTAGTACCCCCTGGTGTATATAATTATATCAGTAAATTTTTTCAAAAGAAATAGCTTTGGAGACCCTTCATACTTTTTTAAATTTTAATATTAAAACTGCCAAGCAGATAACACAGGTCACAAGTTGTTTTAGAAAGACTGGAGAAAAATTAAGTTAAAATAGCTATTCCTTTTCCCTAAAAGTCTCTACTTGTTCATTAATTCTCTTTGTGAGGCAACCAATGAATAAGAAAAGTGGTATTGGCAAAGTAGACCATCTCAGCAGCATGAGGAGATGCTGCTAATTTGAGCAATTCTGGTTTCATCTCATGAGCAGGAGCTTCCTGTGGTACTGAACACTGTGCAGGAATAAGTGGGGAAGTAAAGGTAACAGGAGATCATGTCACACAGAGCATTTTTAATTAGAGATAACAAACCTGTAAATAGTAAAAATAAAAGCAATAAAAAACAAAGAAAACTTTACAGAGACAGATTGAGGTTCTTTAAAATACATCTTATGTATCTCTCATGATATGTTTTTGCCTCCATTATTTGCTGTAAACTCTCAGGTAAGCTCTCATAACAGAGCTTAAAACAGTTAAGAAATTAAAAAATGCACCTGTTCAGGAAATGAAATGGCTATGGCTTACTGACTATTTGTTCTGGGGAAAAAAACCCAAACATAAGGTAGGGGGCAAAAACAGAGAGAACAATTTGACTTCCAATACATATACAAACAGAGTTTTAAAATGCCACTCAAGATTAGGTTTTGTTTGCAAACATAATGAAACCGGTTATTTTAATAGAGAATAATGCAGATCTACTGCATAAAATAAACTTTAATGATAATATAACACGCAGAGAGGCTACGAGCTTCCATCAAGAGGAAAGTCACGAAAAATATAATCACCGTATGACATCACGCATTACCGCATCTTCAAAATCCAGGTTTAAATGGTTACAACAGAAATATCACCCATGATTTGAACAACTGGTGTTAGAGAAGAAAACTATCTACATTTATTCGCTTAACTAAGAAGTAAGAACTAAAAAGAAAACACACTGTAAATGTTCTGGTACGTTAAGTTTCTAGATTCCCAAAGCAAAACAATGTAAGAAAATTAACCATCAGAAAAAAGAGACTAGCAATTAGCTTATAGCAAGCTGTTTCTGACTAACACTTTTCCCACTTAAGATTTCTCAAAACCAAATTTATGATTTTTCCTTCATTTTATATAAACAGTTCCTGAGTTATCTGCAATTATACAACACATACCATGTGCTAATGTTCAACACAAGGCAGGTTGTAAAAGCAGTATTTCCAAACTTTGGAATCACATAACCAAATAAGACAGATTATTTAATACATTAGCTATTTTTCTTATCATTCAGAGATACGTTGGCAGATGTGCAGTATGATGTTATAGTATGATTCAGACCCCAAGGCAGTTTGTCTCATACATTTGAATGTTTTACAAGTATTTGCAGGGTCATGGCCTGACTTTTTGGTAGGAGACTTGTAACTTTGAGTGCATACAAATTTGTTGTTTGATAGTAATTTCTTAGGAAAAAAAGATTAAGTACTACAGTTTTGGCTGAGAAAGACAGCATCAGCTCTAAACGAACACCTGATATTTTAGGATGTTTGAAACAGAAACAATCAAGTTAACTAATTAGGAAAGAAATTGACATGTAGCAAAAATAACTGCTATCCTAAAAGTTAAATACTGTACAAATACTCCTTATGTCATGCAATGTAAATTGTTCAGTTTGAGGATATGATGTTTGTAAAACAGACCTCTTGAGGAGGCTGCTTTCGAAACACTCACCTGGAATATCATGCTCTACAAAACACACCTGCTGTTAATCTGTTCAGATAAGCCTATTATTACTATCTTCAAGATTATTTTCTTAAGCTAGCTGTCGAAACCAGCTAATGACACGCGCGAGTATTACTAGAACCCAGTAGCCCTATTCTAACAAGGGCCACAACAGTATCGTCTTATTTTTCAGTCTATGTCAGTGCACATACAGAAAGTAACATTGATGGTAGGTAGGTTAACTACACCATTTCCAGACCGCCTTTCCAATCTCAGCCATTCTGTGAACTAGGTACTCCTCCCTGGAGCAACACGTTTAATACGCATGCAGAAGACACTTGAAAATGTTGTATTTACTTCATCTTTATCGGTAAAGCACACACAGACCCTTTGATAAAAATTTCATACTGCAAAGTTTTGCATGGATTAGGTAAAATTCCTGGCCTAACTCAAAATTATTTACCAATTAAAAAATTCTAAGAAGTCGAGATTTCTACATGAGGATGCTTTATTTAAAAAAAAAAAAAAAAAAAAGAACCCACCCAAAAAACCAGCAGCAGCATTACTATCTGAAACAGCCTAGGTTTTATCTCACCAAGAAAGATTACTATTATCTTTGTCCTGTGTTATCTTTGTCCTGTTAGGCTTTCATGAAGCACTGTTAGGGATTAAAAACATCTTCATGAATATGTTCTAATATAATAAAATTGTAACAATTCAACCTCATTTTCATCCAGAGAGAAGCATGCAATTAAAAGCTCTCTTTTAAGGGTTTAATACCAGCAGGTTGAAAATGGGTTAGGCAATAAACTAGCAAAAAGATTCAGCCCAGAGAGGACTTTTTCTTTTTTTATGTCAAGCACACTTTAAATCTCCCAAGCTGTTTATAATGGTAGAGTTGCCAAAAATAGTCCAGCTAAAAATCATGGAATTGGCTGTATCTGTTACAGAATACAAAGAGCCCCAAAACATTGCAGAATATTAGGAAAAGGTCTTAACAAAAGCCCAACCCAGAAACCCAACAAGTAAAGATGGCATATTCCGGAGGGAGGTTTGATTTTTATTTGTAAGGAAAAAACCCCAACCAAACAACAAAACAGTGCATCCATTTTAGGTACAACTATATCTTCATGTTCATGAACAGTATCATTGCCTGTGAGTAAATACTCTGAATCCTTCAGTCAAGAAGTATGACAGCAGCATCAAATGGACAATAGCATTTCACTATGCAGACTGTTCCCCTGCATACTCATCAATGCCTAATGTATATCAGGACCTATTCTCAGTCAAGTTTTGTTCCAGCTCAAGAATGGTAGTGCAGGTGCATACCGAGCCAAAGAATCCTCTCCTTTTCACTAGCTCTACGTGTAAGTAATACACTCCTCTGAGAAGTAACAGTAATATTCACACTCCTCTTTGCTGGTGTAGTTAGGCTGCACTGCCCCAGCTAAGCTGACAAGGAACAGAGCTAAACAAAGAGGAGAAGAATTTAGCCATCTTCTGCAAAGTCTATCCAGGCTGCAGAGCGAGACAGGACTAGACGAAGGCATACTACAGTAATATCGGCACTCTTTTGGCCCTGTTTGGCAGAATGCATTTAGAATTACAGCACTATCAGTACTGTAGTGATAGTTGCATACAAGGCTGGGGGTTTGTTTTGCTTTCTTTTTTAATTTATATACGCTGACTACTTTTCTGACTACTACTATGAGTCACTTGCCCAACTCTGCACAAACAAAAATTAAAGGAGACATGGCGAGAACACTAAACAGGTATTTTTTGGAAAAGGCACAATGAGACTCAAGGTGCAATTTCACGCTTGGTTAAAGGCAGACTACAGCTACTGCTACTGAAAGAAGAGTCAAAGTTCTCTGTGTGCTTACATTGGCTGTGGCAATCCTGAAGCTGCACAGCAGGCTGGATCAGCTTAACTCAAGTGAAAATGAATTGTGCTTCCTACCAGCCACAGCTCTTGAGCAGTTACTATACCTGATTTGAGGGAACTGCCATAAATGTGTGGATAGGACCAGATGACTGGTGACTTACCTTTTCAAAAGCAGGTAGTTTTGCAGTAACATGTCAGTCATGAAATGTCAGATATTACCGATAAGGTATTATTTTTTAGCAACATGTGCCTTGTCCACAGTTGGTCCAATTTTCTTAGGGACAGCAAAAAACCCAACAATTTACCATTCTCATCTTGGAAGAAAAAAATCTATTTTAAATGAAATTATTATATGGTAATATTTTCTCAAGTTTTCTTCTCAGAATGACTTCTTTTCATAGAAGCTTCTACTCACATCTTGAGATATGAATATAGATGTGAATCTATAAAAGCTCCTAGCACTCCCCACACAAAGATCCATTTCTTTTCTATTTCTTTTCTATTTCATAGAGGAACTTCCATGTATCATTACCAGTAACCAGAACTCTCTGGACATTCTTTAGGCTGTTAGCTGCCATAAAAACCTGTGTACTCTTGCAAAAATTAATCTATCTGCAACTGATTTATGGAAGCAGCTTGGAGTTCCTATCTTTACCTACCTGTGAGTTTAGATTTCAATATATTAATCTTCAAATGCTACTTGGAATGTTCATCTATGCTGCCCATGCCACTAAAACAAAATTCCAAAATACTTTTAGATGTGTTAGAATTGGTTATTATATTACGCTTATTATGGTAAGCAACTGTATATTTAATTTTCCAGTTGAAATTTCCACTTGACAGCTTCATGCAGCAGAGTGCCAGAACTGAGTATTAAGGTTTATCTATGAGCTAAAGCAATTAACTTAATCCCCAACATTTATAAGCATCTTAATTAAAATTATGCACTCT